AGGGTCTTGCTTTGTTGCCCACATAGCTCACTGAAGCCTTGACCTCGTGTGCTCAAGTGATTCTTCCATGTCAGCCTCCCAAGTAGATGAGACTACAGGCACATGCCACCAGGCCCAGCTAATTTTTTGTATTTTTTTGTAGAGATGGGGTTTTACCATGTTGCCCAGTCTGGTCTCAAACTCCTGGACTCAAGTGATCTGCCCACCTCAGCGTCTCAAAATGCTGGGATTACAGATGTAAGCCTCTGCACCCAGTCTGGTTTTTCTCTTTTGTTTATGCATATATTAATAGATTTTTTTTTCCTAACATTAATCACCTTTGTATTCCTAGGATAAACTCAGCTTGCTCATGACAAATTGCCACTTCAATACATTGTTGAATTAGGTTTGCTAATAATTTGTAGGGTTTTTTTACATTTGGTTTTTCTGTTGCTGACTTATAATTAAATTGCATCTAGCTTTCTGAGACTAAGGATGATTTTCTTTTTTATGCAGTCCTTGCTGGCTTTATCAAGGTTACACTGGACATGAGCTGAGGAATGTTCTGTCCTTTTCTGTTCTCTGGAAGACTTTGTTCTTTTATGGCTGGAATGATCTATTCCTTGACAATTTGGTGCAACCTGGCTAAAAGCTGTCTGGGCTTGGTATTTTCTTTTTCTTTTTTGAGACAGAGTTTCACTCTTGTTACCCAGGCTTGAGTGCAATGGTGTGATCTCGGCTCACCACAACCTCTGCCTCCTGGGTTCAAGCAATTCTCCTGCCTCAACCTCCCAAGTAACTGGGACTGCAGGCGTGGGCCACCATGCCCAGCTAATGTTTGTATTTTTAGTAGAGACGGGGTTTCACCGTGTTGACCACGATGATCTCAATCTCTTGACCTTGTGATCCACCCACCTTGGCATCCAAAAGTGCTGGGATTATAGGCATGAGCCACCGCACCCGGCTGGGCTTGTATTTTCTTTGTGGGGAAATTTGTAATTACTAATTAAGTCTCTTTAATGATTACAAAGAAAATCCAAACTTCCTTTTTTCTCTCCTTTTGAAAAAATTATTTATTTGCTTATTTATTTATTTTTGAGACGAAGTCTTGCTCTGTCGCCCAGGTTGGAGTGCAATGTTGTGATCTCAGCTCACTGCAACCTCTGCCTCCCAGGTTTAAGCAATTCTCTGCTTCAGCCTCCTGAGTAGCTGGAATTACAGGCACCTGCCACCACACCTGCTAATTTTTGTATGTTTAGTAGAGATAGGGTTTCACTATGTTGGCCAGACTGGTCTCAAACTCCTGACCTCATTACCCACCTGCCTCGGCCTCCAAAGTGCTGGAATTACAGGTGCTCATCACCCTGTTTCTACAATAATTGATGACCACACTTTTTTCATATATAGGCCCACCCACTTTCTATACTCACATCCTAGACTACTTGTAAACAAATGGCAGACATCATATCACTTTATCTGTAAATACTCCAGTAGTATCTCCAAAAGATAAAGATTTTAAAAAAACCCATAACCCAAGTATATACATATCACGCATGTATCTAATAATACTGGAACAGAAATTTAACAATACTGCAGTAGAAAATATTTGGTCCATTTTCATTCTATTCCAGTTGTCTTAGGTGCTGTCTTTGTTGGTGGTATATGTTGTTGTTCTGTTTTGTTAGGTTTTCTTCAATCAAGAGGCAAAAATGAAGACCTTGCATCCTGACCAGTTGATATTTCTGTCTTCCCACGTATCTGCTTGAGGTTTACGAGTCCCAGCTCCCACTGCACCTGCCGTCTGCCTTTCCTTTCTCAGGACACACACAGGACTAGGAGAAAACAGACTAAGTATATGATATTACAGTATTGCTAGTTTTCTTATTTGTTTGTCTGTTTGTTTTTGAGACGGAGTCCCACTCCGTTTCCCAGGCTGGAGTGCAGTGGCATGATCTCAGCTCATTGCAACCTCTGTCTCCTGGGTTCAAGCGATTCTTCTGCTTCAGCCTGCTGAGCAGCTGGGAATACAGGTGTGTGCCATTATACCTGGTTAATTTTTGTATTTCTTTTTTTGTTTGTTTGTTTGTTTTTTGGGATGGAGTCTCACCCAGTCACCCAGACTGGAGTGGAATGGCGTGATCTCGACTCATTGCAACCTCCGCCTCCCAGGTTTAAGCAATTATCCTGTCTCAGCCTCCTGAGTAGCTGGGATTACAGGTGTGCACCACCGCACCTGGCTAATTTTTGTATCTTTTTTTTTCTTAATTTTTTCTTTTAATAGAGATGAGGTTTCACCATGTTGGCCAGGTTGGTCTCGAACCCCTGATCTCAGGTGATCTGCCCACCTCAGCCTCCCAAAGTGCTGGGATTACAGGTGTGAGCCACCGTGCCAGCCTAATTTTTGTATCTTTAGTAGAGATGGGGTTTCACCATGTTGGTCAGGGAGGTCTACTGTTGACCTTGTGATCCATTCACCTCAGCCTCCCAGGTGCTGGGATTATAGGCATGAGCCACTGCGCCCAGCTGGACCCTGTTTTTGACATGTGTGAGCATAGATAGCAAGCAAGGCTGTAAAGGAAAGGGATGTGCTTCCAGACTGACCAGGACACGAACATCATTAAGGGTGGGAATGTCTCAAGAACGTCATAGGAGAGTTGAGACTAACATGCAAGTTTTGTAACTGGTGGTTGAGGCAGGAGAAAGAATTTTTGAAGTTTTTAGAGACCGGGTCTTGCTTATATCTCATAGCGATGATAGCTTACTGCAGCCTCGACTACTGGGCTCAAGTGGCCCTCCCAACTCAGCCTTCGGAGTAGCTAGGATGACAGGTGGGCACCACTGCACCAGGCTAGGGATATTTATTGCTGTACATTTTAAAGTATGCTTTGTACTGGGTTCGCATAGGCCATTTCCCCTCTGCCTGCAGGTTACTGATGTCCCCATGTCTCTGCATAGCTGCAAATGGGACTAGGGAGGCATTACTGTGGTAACAGCCTTGGCAGGGTCAAGGAGTTCCTTGTATGGCTTTCATACCTCTGACCAGCTGAGGTCCAGGCCCCAGACCTGTGGTAATGCTGCCCATTGAGCCACCAGCTGGACTGAGGAGCAGACACGAGGCCCCCAGGCCACAGCAGAGACCTGCTGACACCACCTCCATCATCAGCCCTAATCTGGGGCCACCCTCTCATGTCCCTCATCCTCCTGCCCAGTGAAGCAGTGGCTGCTCTAGCTAAAGCTGCCAGAGAGAGAGCAGTTTTGGCTATGCCTTGAACTAGAGCATTGGTGATGAAAGGGACCCAAAATGGGAACAGCCTGACTGTCCCCATCCATTAGGCAGAGAGGAAAAGCATGGTGCTCCCCGAACTGGGAAATACCCCTGCAGTCACAAGATGAACCAGCTGTGTGGACACTGCTAGGTCTTTTTTTTTTTAGAGATGGGGTCTTGTTCAGTTGTCCAGGCTGGAGTGCAGGGACACAATCATGGCTCATTGCAGCCTCGATCTCCTGGTCTCAAGCGATCCTCCTACCTTAGGCTCTCAAGTAGCTGGGACAGTTATGTGCCACCATATCCAGATTAAAGTGCACAGTGGGAACCATTCAGAGCTGAGCAAGATGCAGTCAGGAAAAGTAGAGAAGTGGGAGCTGTGGTTGTGAACACTGTGCTCCTGGCCAGGCATGGGGAGGCAGGTAGCTTTCTGGAGAACATCCTGCCAGCTGTAATCAGATACCCTGGGACCCCTACAGAAAGGAGGACACAGCCCCATCCTGGCCAACACAGGCCAGTGCATGGGTCCTTCAGGGAACCTGTGGCTATGGCACAGTGGCATGTTTTTCACCCCTTTTACCCTGCACATGTTCTCTCCAGCACCTTTTATTTTTATTTTTGTTTTGAGACATGGTCCTGGTCTTTTACCCCATGCTGGAGTACAGTGGGGTGATCATAGCTCATTGCAGCTTCAACCTCCTAGGAAGTGATTCTCCTGCCTCAGCCGCCAGAGTAGCTGGGAACACAGGTGCATGCCACCTGTGGCCACCATATGTGGCTTACTAAAAAAAAAAAAAAACTTGTAAAGATGGAGTATGGCCTTGTTGCTTAGGCTGGTTATTTTGTTGTTGTTTGTTTTTGTTTTTGTTTTTTTTTGAGATGGAGTCTCACACTGTCACCCAGTCTGGACTGCAGTGGTGTGATCTTGGCACACTGCAACCTCCACCTCCCAGGTTCAAGCGATTCTCCTGCCTCAGCCTCCCGAGTAGCTGGGATTATAGGTGTATGCCACAATGCCCAGCTAACTTTTGTATTTTTAGTAGAGTGGGGGTTTCACCATGTCAGCCAGGCTGGTCTTGAACTCTTGACCTCAGGTGATCCTCCTGCCTCTGCCTCCCAAAGTGTGGGATTACAGGCATGAACCACTGCACCTGGTCTCAGGCTGGTTTTGAACTCCTGGGCTCAAAGAATGCTCCTACTTCTGCCTCCCAAAGTGCTGGGATTACAGGCATGAGCCACCACACCCAGCCTCCAGGACTTCTGTCCTGGGCTTTGCAGGGTCTGTTTTTCCTCTTAAGAGTTTTACTTCTTGCCGGGTGCGATGATGCCCGCCTGTAGTCCCAGCTACTGGGGAGGCTGAGGTGGGAGGATCGCTTGAGCCCATTTCTGGCCTGTAGTGCGCTATGCCAATCAGGTGTCCACACTAAGTTCAGCATCAACATGGTGACCTCCCAGGAGCAAGGGACCAGCAGGTTGTCTAAGGAGGGGTGAACTGACCCAGGTCGGAAATGGAGCAGGTCAAAACTCCCGTGCTGATCAGTAGTGGGATCGCACCTGAATAGCCACTGCACTCCAGCCTGGGCAACATAGAGACACCATCTCAAAAAAAAAAAAGAGTTGTACTTCTCGTGCTTTTCTGGCTAATATTCCTTTCTGGACAACCATCCCTGCACAATTGCCACTGATTTTTTTTTTTTTTTTTTTTTTTTTTTTGAGACCAAGTCTCACTCCATTGCCTAGGCTGGAGTGCAGTGGCATGATCTCAGCTCGCTGTAACCTCTGCCTCCCAGGTTCAGGTGATTCTCCTGCCTCAGCCTCCAAAGTTGCTGGGACTGCAGGTGTGCACCACCACGCCCAGCTAGTTTTTATATTTTTAGTAGAGATGGGTTTCACCGTGTTGGCCAGGCTGGTTACGAACTCCTGACCTCAAGTGATCCATTCGCCTTGCATGAGCCACCGTGGCCGGCTGCCACTGACAGTTTTTACTGGCACTTGTTGTAGTCCCAGATGCCACCTGCTACCTGTGCTGGGGCTTCAGAGTGCCTAGCTGCAGGTTGAGGTCCTGGTCTTGTCACTGCTGCTCGCTGAGCCTGCTTCCGATGCTGGGATTTGCCTTCCAAGGGTGTGTTTGGGTCTGTAGAGAAGAGCCTCCTTACACGTCACATTTACTTCCCCACAGGTCATTCCTTAGCATCTCCTACAGCTTGGCCTCCTCCTTAGTCCCTGTGGCCGGTACAGCTCTCATTCCACATTCTTAAATGATTTTAACCTCCCAAAGGGTTGGGATTACAGGCGTGAGCCACTGCACCTGGCCTAAAATATCTTTCTATGATTCAATCTGTAGGTCAGACCTACCACTCTGCTGTAGTGGTAGAAACTGAACTTCAGTTAGGAGATTTTCCTGTCTTTCCCACAGGGGTGTGTCACTGTCAGAGGAAGACTGTCAGATCTCTGCAGCATGACCCTCATCCTTGTTCCCAACCTTTTCTGTCAGTCACTGTCTGCTCCCTCTCTTTGGGTGGCTGCCATCAATGACCTATTATTGTCATTGCCATAGATCCCCTAGCAGCACTCCCTCTCCCGCAGTTGTCATTCCAGTCTTGCTGCACAGTATGCTAAGAATGTTCTCTTGGCTTCTGACAGTTAAATGTTGCCATCCAGAATAAATGCCATTGCAGAATCCTGTCATCCTCAAGACACCAGGGAGCCAAGTTCCATGGTAGCGGCTCCTAGCCACAGAGGACAGCCACTGCCAGCTTTCAATGATGCCAGTGCCCCCTCACTAGCACATTCTGCATTACCTTAGTGAAGGGAACCTCCTCTGGGCAACTCCATGAAACACCTCTGGTCTCATGTAATAAATTCATTCTAACATTCCCACTTCCCTGAGCCTTCCTCTCTACCTTATTAACTGTAGGCCACTATGGTGTCCAAGCTTCTGGGAGCTGTCTGGCAGCATATGAAGACACCAGGCGTCCTTTGACAGGACTTTAGATCCCGAGTGTTGGGGGATGCTCCCTTGTCAATCAATTCCCTACCAGTCTTATATTGCCCCCTCCCCGCCTGGATCTGGTACCCTCAAGATTGCTCCCACAAGTGTTCTCCCAGGCCCTGCAACTTTTTGGGTGACTGAGCTATTTCCTCCTAGAGTAGGATATATTTCACTGCTTGGGCTTTGCTGAAATATGATCCTGCTTATTGGTCTGCAGGCAATGAGAGGAGGTGGATCTTGAGGAGAATTAGTGTTATACTACAGGGCACTCACCTGTAACAGGGGAGATCTCTGCACTGTCTCCAGGCTAGCAAAGCTGTCCTCCTCTATCAATGGGAAGAAGGCAGTTTCTGCTGGCCAGGATGGATCAGGGGACTCTAGGGGCTCAAGGTTCTTTGGTACATCCACCGAAACATTCCATGGCAGGCCTCAGGGTTCCATTTCTTCCCTTTAAAAGCCCACAGTGGGCTGGATACTGTGGTTCATGCCTGTAATCCTAGAGGTTTGGGAGGCCAAGGCAGGAGGGTCAGTTGAGGCCAGGAGTCCAAAACCAGCCTGAACAACATAGCAAGATCCCTGTCCACAAAAATAAAAATAATAAAAGCCCCCACTTTAGGACAGGAAAACTACTGAGGATGCACAAGTGTCCTTTGCACTTCTGCTGCCCTTGTGATGAAATCCTGGGTCTCGTTTTCAGCATGTTCTACCTCCTGGCCATGGAAGCAAGGTTTTCTTTACATGTTGCCTTGGGAGAGTTCCTGGCTTTCACAGCATGCTCTGAGTAGATAGCAGGCTGAACTGTTTCTTTCATTCTCTTTCTTCTAAGCTTCTAAGGTGATTTAGAAAAGCTAGCCACCTCCATAATCCTTGCAACAGCAGCTGCTTCCACATCTTTCAAGTGACAAAGCTGCTGTATAAGAAGTTTTCTCTTCAACTTCTATCTCCTAATCTATCCTAATCACAGGTAAGAGTCTTTAGGGCACGAGGAGGTTATCACCAACTCTGTGTGTGTGTGTCTTTGTTGCCTTCTGAATAGTAAGTGATCCACTTTCGTATTCCTATTCCTAGGTCTGTCTTCTAGTGCTACTGCCAGTATTCACTGCCTTAGCTTGAATCTTCACAAAAACAGAGCTTGATCCTGGAACTTGGGCACAGGTAATTTGGTAGATTCCAGGAAACCAGTGAGAGATCGGGAAGAGTGACCCAGGGTACAGAGCCATGAGCCACAGCTGCAGCTTCAGTCAGAGCAGGGCTGACCAGATGTAACCAGAGTCCCAACAGTATCCTGGACACCTCTCCTGTCTCCTAGGGGTGCAGAAATCTGTGACAATGGCTAAGTGATATCTGCTTCCCTAGATTCAGGTGCCTATCTCTTGTGGAGTTTTGTTCATTCTAGAAATATTTGGAGAGGGCCAAGCATCGTGGCTCATGCCTGTAATCCCAGCACTTTGGGGGCCAAGGTAGGCAGATCAGTTGAGGTCAGGAGTTTGAAACCAGCCTGGCTGACATGGCAAAACCCCGTCTCTGCTAAGAACACAAAAATTGGCTGAATGTGGTTGTGCGCACCTCTAATCCCAGCTATTCAGGAGGCTGAGGCAGGAGAGTTGCTTAAACTTGGGAGGCAGAGGTTGCAGTGAGCCGAGATCACACCACTGCACTCCAGCCTAGGCAACAGAGTGAGACTCTGAAAAAAAAAAGACTCAGTGAGGTGGCTCACACCTGTAATCCCAGCACTTTGAGAGGCTGATGTGGGCAGATCACAAGGTCGCAGATCATGAGGTCAGGAGTTCAAGACCAACCTGACCGATATGGTGAAACTCCATCTCTACTGAAGATACAAAAATTATTGTTCACCAGCAAGTAATTCCTCATGGTGAAAAAGAAAAAAAGAAAAATACAAAAATTAGCTGGGCATGGTCAGGCATGGTGGCTCATGCCTGTAATCCCAGCACTTTGGGAGGCTGAGATGGGTGGATCACGAGGTCAGGAGTTCAAGACCAGCCTGGCTAAGAGAGTGAAACCCCATCTCTACTAAAGAGACAAAAAAGTAGCCAGGTGTGGTGGTGCATGCCTGTAATCCCAGCTACTCGGGAGGCCGAGGCAGGAGAATCGCGTGAACTTGGGTGGCAGAGGTTGCAGTGAGCCGAGATTGCACCACTGCATTCCAGCCTAGGACTCACTCAACAGAGTGAGACTACATCTCAAAAAAAAAAAAAAAAAAAATTAGCTGGGCATGGTGGTGGGCACTCTGTAGTCCCAGCTACTTGGGAGGCTGAGGCAGAAGAATCACTTGAACCTGGGAGGCGAAGGTTGAAGTGAGCTGAGATCACACCACTGCAGTACAGCCTGGACAACAAAGCAAGACTCTGTCTCAAATAAATAAATAGGAATATTTGGAGAGGGCCAAATAAGTGAGCAGCACTTCTCCACACTGACATACGGGACAGAACAGAACAACAAGCCCCATAGAGCTTATGTTTTAGTTGGGGGAGACTAACAATAAATAAAATATGTGGTAGGTCAAGTGTTAATAGGTGCTAGAAAACATGAAGTGGGAAGGGAGAATTTGTTGTGCAGACACCACAAATAAGTGAGAGTGAATGAAACTGGCAAGGCACTGGGAAGGCACATCTGTAAGGAAAATCAGATGGAAATCAGAGGAGCATGGTGCCCTAGAAACAGAGTGAAGGCAGGGTATCAAGGAGAAGGAGGGGTCAACTCACGAGATGCTGCTGATGCACTGCGAAGAGGACAGAAAATGGGGCAGAAGCCTTAACCACATGGTGGGCGCAGCATCCTTGACAACAGCAGGCTGGGGAGAGTGAGAGGTGAGAAATCTGAAGTTCAAGGTAGACCAGGCCCGGTGGCTCATGCCTGTAATCCCAGTACTTTGGAAGGCCAAGGTGGGAGGACCACTTGAGCCCAGGAGTTCAAGACCAGCCTGGGCAACATAGTGAGACCCTCTCATCTTTTCTTTTTCTTTTTTTCTTTTTGAGATGGGGTCTCACTCTGTCTTCCAGGCTGGAGTGCAGTGGTGCAATCTCAGCTCACTGCAACCTCAGCCTCCTGAGTAGCTGGGATTACTCGCATGTGCCGCTACGCCCGGCTAATTTTTGTATTTATAGTAGAGATGGGGTTTTGCCATCTTGGCCAGGCTGGTCTCAAACTCCTGACCTTGTGATCCACCTCCCTCGGCCTCCCAAAGTGCTGGGATTATAGGCGTAATTTTTGTATTTTTGGTAGAGACGGGGTTTAACCATATCTGCCAGGCTGCTCTTGAACTCCTGACTTCAAGTGATCTGCCTGCCTTGGCCTCCCAAAGTGTTAGGTTTACAGGCATGATGCACCACTCCTGGCCATTTTTTTTTTCTTTTTATAGAGACAGGATCTCACTTTGTTGACCAGGCTGGTCTCAAACTCCTGGCATCAAGCAGTCTTCCTGCTTTGGCCTCCCAAAGAACTTGGATTATAAGCATGAGCCACCACACTTGGCCCAAGACCCCAGGTCTACAAAAAAACAAAAAGTTAGGCCGGGTGCAGTGGCTTACACCTGTAATCCCAGTACTTTGGGAAGACAAGGCAGGCAGATCACCCGAGGTCAGGAGTTCAAGATCAGCCTGGCCAACATGATAAAAACCCTGTCTCTACTAAAAATACAAAAAAGAAATAGCCAGGCATGGTGGTACATGCCTCTACTCCCAGCTACTTAGGAGGCTCAGGTGGGAGGATCACTTGAGCCCAGGAGTTTGACACTCAAGTGAGCCATGATCACACCAGTGCACTCCAGCCTGGATGACACAACAAGTCCCCATCTCTAAAAAAGAAAAAGAAGTTAGAGGGGGTTAAGAGCAAACAAAGCACGCCTGTAATCCCAGCACTTTGGGAGGCCAAGGCGGGCGGATCATGAAGTAAGGAGATCAAGACCTGCCTGACCAATGTGGTGAAACCCTGTCTCTACTTAAAAAAATACAAAAATTAACCGGGTGTGGTGGCCTGTAGTCCCAGCTACTCAGAAGGCTGAGGCAGGAGAATCTCTTGAGCCCAGGAGGTGGAGGTTGCAGTGAGCCTAGATTGCGCCATTGCATTCTAGTCTGGGTGATGAAGCGAGACTGTCTCAAAAAAAAAAAGAGCAAACAGGGAAGGGAGGAATGGGGGATGTGAATATAAGCAACCTTTTGGAATTTAGTTATAAAGGGAAGCAAAGAAATGACACAATAGCTGGAAGGGGATTCTCCTGCCTCAACTTCCCAAGTAGCTGGGACTACAGGTGTGCACCACACCATGCCTGGCTAAGTTTTGTATTTCTAGTAGAGATGAGGTTTCACCATGTTGGTCAGACTGATCTTGAATTCCTGACCTCAGATGATCTCACTGCCTTGGCTTCCCAAAGTGCTGGGATTACAGGCATGAGCCACTGTGCCCTGCCTTTTTTGTTTTGTTTTGAGACAGAGACTCACTCTGTCACCTAGGCTGGAGTGCAGTGGCTCTATCATGGCTCACTGTAATCTTGACCTCCCCAGGCTTGTGATCCTCCCACCTCAGCCTCCAGAGTAGCTGGGAATACAGGCACAAGCCGTCTCACCTGCCTTCCTTCATATTGACGCACAACACATTTTCTTCTTTCCTTCCTTCTCTTTTCTTTCTTCTTCTTTCTTTCTCCCTTTCTTTCTTCATTTCTCCCTTTCTTTCTTTCTTCCTTTCTTTTCTTTTCTTTGCTTTCTCTTTGATGGAATCTTGCTCTGTCACCCAGCTGCAGTGCAGTGGCACTGTCTCGGCTCACTGCAACCTCTTCCTCCCAGGTTCAAGCAATTCTCCTGCTTCAGTCTCTCAAGTAGCTGAGACTACAGGGGTCGCCACCACGCCTGGCTAATTTTTTTTGTATTTTAGTAGAGATGGGGTTTCACCATGTTGGTCTTGATCTCCTGACCTCGTGATCTGCCTGCCTCAGCCTCCCAAAGTGTTGGGATTACAGCACCTGGCCAACACATTTATCTGTAAATTCACTTAGGTTTTTTCAATATCTTGGCTATTGTGAATAACGCTGCAACGAACGTGGGAGTGCAGATAAATCTTCAACGTACTGATATCATTTCCCTCAGGTACATACTCAGAAGTGGAATTGCGGGATCATGTGGGTAGTTCTATTTTTAATTTCTTGAGGAACCTCCATGCTGTTTTCCATAATGGCTGTACTAATATACATTACTACCAACAGCAGGGCATATTTTTTGAGATCTGGGATATTCTTTTACATAACCATAATAAAGTCTCACCTTTAGTACAGTTAATATTGATGCATACTTTTTTTTTTTTTTGAGACGGGGTTTCGCTCTTGTTACCCAGGCTGGAGTGCAATGGCCCATTCTCGGCTCACTGCAACCTCCGCCTCCTGGGTTCAAGCAATTCTCCCGCCTCAGCCTCCCTAGTAGCTGGGACCACAGGCACGCACCACCATGCCCAGCCAATTTTTGCATTTTTAGTAGAGACGGGGTTTCACCTTGTTGACCAGGATGGTCTTGATCTCTTGACCTCGTGATCCACCTGGGCTCCCAAAGTGCTGGGACTAGGGGCGTGAGCCACCGTGCCTGGCCTACTTTTTTTTTTTTTTTTTGAGACAGACCAGAGTTTCACTCATTCTTGTCCTCTTATTCCTGTCCTCGCCGGGCTCTTGTTCCTGTCCTCCCTGTCGTTCCTGACTCTGGGTAAACTTGGTGGGCCCCTGTAACTGTCTGGCTCTAGACCTCCTCTTCTGCACAAGAGGGATGCTGCCTCATGAGCTTGTGGGGACCCTCACATGCTGAGCTTTTTACTTAAAAAAAAAAAACACATGACTAAATGAGTATATTCTCATTGCAAAAAAAATCAAAACATGGAACAGCAAAAGTCCAAGTTTTTGTTCTCCAAACTTCCTTACCCCCCTGCCACCTGCCCAGTTCCTTCCCTTCCCTTTCTGGGTATCCATTTAGACTGTTTGCTTCACATTTACTTACAGACATAGACTTGTAAAACAAAGAGTTTTGGTTTTGGTATTTCCCTCTAACATTTTGTCCTGAAAAACCTACAGAAAAATTGCAAGAATTACAGAATGAACACTCATAACCACCTAGGTTTTAGAATAAACACTTTGCAGTCCTGTCTTACCACATGCCTCATTTACCCACGCTTCCTTTCTTCCATCCATCCTTCTACACTTTCACTTTAGCATACAGTGAGTTGCACCAATCTAGAGTCAACATCGTGTAAGGGTTTTTTGTTTTGTTGTTGTTGTTGTTTGAGACTGGGTCTTGTTCTGTCACCCAGGCTGGAGTGAAGTGGCATGATCTTGGCTCACTGCAACCCTTGCCTCCTGGGCTCAAGTGATCCTCCCGCCTTAGCCTTCTAAGTAGCTAGGACCACAGGCGCACACCACCACACACCACTAGTTTTTGCATTTTTTGTAGAGATGGGGTTTCGCCATGTTGCCCAGGCTGGTCTTGAATGCCTGAGCTCAAGCTATCTGCCCACCTAGGCCTCCCAAAGTACTGGGATTACAGGTGTGAGCCACTGCACCTGGCCTATATTCTTTACTTTAAAACCTCAGAAGATAACTTATCTCAAAGAAAAACTTACTAAAAGTAAGGATTTCTAATTGGCTGATTCTTTTTGTTTAATTTGTGGTAAGAACATTTAACATGGGATCTACCCTCTTCACAAGTTAAGTGTACATTGCAGTGTTACGGACTCTAGGCAGGATGTTGTGCAGCGCATCTCCAGAACGTGTTCATGTTGCATTGCTGAAACTTTCTTTTTCTTTTTTTTCCTAATTTTTTTGTATTTTCAGTAGAGACAGAGTTTCACCGTGTTGGCCAGGATGGTCTCGATCTCTTGACCTTGTGATCCGCCCGCCTCAGGCTCCCAAAGTGCTGGGATTACAGGCGTGAGCCACCACGCCCAGCCTGCTGAAACTTTCAACAGCAATTTCCCACTTCTTCCTCCCCTCAGCCCTGGAAACCACCATTGTACTCTCTGCTTCTGTGAGTTTGACAATTTTATTTTAATTAATTAATTAATTAATTAATTAATTTTTTTAGACAGAGTCTCGCTTTGTTGCCTGGTCTAGAGTGCAGTGGCATGATCTCAGCTCACTGCAACCTCTGCTTGCCGGGTTTAAGCGATTCTCCTGTCTCAGTCTCCCTACCTCCTCTGTACACGCCAGCCCTGTGTCCTTAGCACCCAGGGCTGCCAGAGGGCCTTCAGCAGCTCCCATGGCTAACAGTGACTCTATGTTTCCTAGACTTCAAGGATGACCTGGCAAAGACCACTGAGACGCCCTCAGAAGCGGCTTTATCTCTTCTCAGGGTAAAGTCTTCTTTCTTTGTCTGATATGGGAATTTTATTTCTCTTGGTTTCTTTCCATTTCATTTGAATTATTATTTTCAAATCTCGCCATGGAAATTATAAATGAATTGCAGAATTTTTTGGTGGGCAAATGCAAGAGTCCATTACCAACTAAGAACTGATTCAAGACGGCATCCATAGATGACAGCTTTAGTGACAAACTACATGGCAGAACATTTTCCTCATGGGAAATTAGTTCTTCTTGGAAAACACAGTGACTTTATAACCAAAATTATTTTCAGAATCTCCCATGAAACTCTTATGCCTTTCCACAAGTGTTTTCTAGGCTTTATTTTGGGACCATCACCTCAAGTACTATTTCCTGTCTGGGTTTTGTATGTTATCACGTAATCAAAAGACCTGTGCACACAATATACAGCACGGTCTGATGCTCAGTGTTTTCTTTTCTCTATATGCAGTCACTAGGAGGTCCCCCCAAAAAAATATGTATTCTGGACACACTCTTTTTCTAAGAAAAAAATCTTCATTGTTGAGAAAGGTTGAACTTACTGTTCCGCTTTTGCTGGAGAGCCACTTTGGATTGAGCTTTCTACCAGACATGAGGTTTGGACAGGTTGGTGTAAACAACGTGAAGAATCTAGTAAAGAACTGTGACCATCTCAATCTAGTCCCTGAAGTAGTGGCGTCATTTAGATGGAAGAGGATGGTGTGCATCACGGCTGGGAAGTGGAGGAGAGAGTTCATGTAAAGTGATCAAAAGTGTCTTTGGGAGCCTGTGCGCATTTCCCCAGAAAGCACGTTTCCATGTGCAAAGCACAACACAAGGATTACTGTTCTAAACACAAAATGCATCACCACTGCACACTTCACGTCAATCAGCCCTTCCATCCTCCATGGCAGCTTACCTAAAGGTAAGTTTCATGTCCTCACTCCTCAGGTGGAGATGCTGTGGAGATAAATTTTTCAAGCTCTTGGGCTCCTACACTGAAGAGGCAAATGTGAACTCAAGAATGGGTGAAACATTGATGCGATGGCTACTGTTGTGCACTTGGCAGACAGCACTGGCATAACTCATCACCGTGCCAGGGAGTTCCAGCACCTATGTGTGCATGTGCAAGTGTGATGGCCTGTAGAGATTTTACACACTGTCATCACAGGACGGTCTTAGTGGTCACCTACCCCAGGGTGGGAACAGCTACATTTTACAGTGGAATCCGGCGTGGTCATTAATGTGAAGCACACTTGCAGGGCTCAGAGGGTTTTGGCGCCACGATAGGTTAATTCTCAGCTCCTGGCCAAAAGCAGAGAATAATCAGCGACATATTCTGTTTTATTTAAGAACATAATAACCATAAGGCTTAGAAATGCTCTGCTTCAGTAGCACACACACCTCAGGCACAGCCTCAAACAGGAGCTCCAGGAACAACCTGGGCTTTAGCCTGGTGCCCATCTCCCCTGCTGGAACCTCCTGCACAGCTGGGTTGGAGAGGGTCAGCGCCCCCACCTGCTGCCCGCAGGACAGGCTGTCCCGGGGTCAGAGCCAGTGAGAGCCTGAGCAGTAATGGACTCCCTAGATACATGTTGTGTTGAAAAGGGAGACCAAAAGGACAGATAGCACATGTCACATGTGGTCATGTTTAAATGGTAGGATAATTGTGAGTATTTTAAATGTTTATTTTTCTTTAAAACAGATTTTTGGTGGATAAATGTTATAGACTATTTTGGCTGGAATACATATTTTAAAAGAAAGGCTGATTTTATGATGTAGGACATCTCCTAGGACAGGTGATCCACACAGCAGTGCAGGTGGATCCTGGGAGTAAATGACCTCAGATGGGATCAGGAAGGCAGCACAGCTGGGAGCAGTGGCTCACGCCTGTAATCCCGGTACTTTTGGAGGCCATGGAGAATGAACTGCTTGAGCTCAGGAGTTCGAGACAAGCCCAGGTATCCTGGCAAAACCCCATCTCTACAAAATCAGCTGGGCATGATGGGACATTTGTAGTTTTAGCTACTTGGAGGCTGAGGCAAAGGATCCACCTGGGCTTGGGAGGTCGAGGCTGCAGTGAGTCATGATTGTACTGTGGCACTCCAGCCCAGGTGACAGTGCAAGAGCAGCTTAAAGAGAAAAAAAATAGCACAACTTAGCTCAGGTCTGAATAGAAGGCTCCCTGAGATGTTGTCATTGAAACACATGTACCCTGTTTGAGATCAGCTTTCACGTTGATGAGGGTGGCTCAGCTCAAGAGCCAAGGCTCTGTCTCCCAGGGCTTTCCTGACGGTCTCCTTTGCCTCCCTTTACCACGAAGGAGGATGGGCCAGCAGCTCAGCCTGTGCTGTTAACCCACCTTTTCCACACATGCCAGCCCGCTGTCCACAGCACCCAAGCCTGCCTGAGGGATTCTTTAGCAGCTCCCATGTGCTGACAGTGACTCTCTGTTTCCTAGATAGCTTACTCTTCATCTCAGGACAGCTTCCTGGAGAGATGTCCTCAGAACAAGTCCTGGCCGTTTTCAACGTGAGATCTTTTTTTGTCTAAGATGAGAATTGTATTTCTCTTAGTTTCTTTCCATTTCATTTGCTGCAAATCTTACCATGGACATTGTAGATAAGTTACAGAATTTCTTGGTGGGAAAATGTGAGAGTTCATTGCCAACTAGGAACTGGTTCGAGATGGCACTCATAGATGACAGCTTCAGTTACAAACCGTATGCAGATAACATTTTCCTCAGGAGAAATGCTTACTGTTTGAAAATTGTGGTGAATTTGCAACAAAAATCATATGGAAAATCTTATACAAAACTCTTGTGCCTTTCCACAAGTGCCTTCTAGGCTTTATTTTGGGGCCACTGCCTCGAGCGCTATTTCCCTTCTGCTTTTCTGATGTTAGCAACTGAAGAAAAGAACTATGCACACGGGACACAGCATGTTCTGACGCTCAGTGTTTTCCTTTCTCTCTGCAGAGGGACTCAGTGATTCGAGCAAGTGGTATGTACTCTGCGGTCACCCCTTTGCTAAGGAAATATCTTAGTGTTGAGAAAGGTGACACTTTCCTCCCTGCTTTTGCTGGAGAGCCACCCTGGTGTGAGCTTCCTGCTGGAAATGAGGTTTGGGCACTTTGGTGTAAAAAAAACAAAGAGTTTAGTCAACACCTATGGCCATCCACTCTAGTTCCCAAAAGCAGTGATGTCATTTAAATAGGAACAGGGGTGCATCAGGGTGGGGAGGCATGGAGGAGAGAGTCTGTGTGGAGTGATGGTGAATGTCTTTGGGAGTGTGTGTGCCTTTCTCTAGAAAGTGTGGTCCCCTGTACAAAGCACAACCCAAGGTTCGGCATTCTAGAAACCAAATTCCATCCCCACTGCACACTTCACATCAGTCAACATTTTCATCCTTCACCACAGCTGTACCAGAAGCGTAGTTTAATATCCTCAGTCCTCAGATTGGAGATGGTGGAAAGATGAATTTCCCAAGCTCTCCATTTCCTGAATGGAAAAGGCAAATGTGAACTCAGGAATGGGTGCAAAGTTGATGTGATGGGCTGCTACTCTGCAGTCCTCATGTGGCCCTGGTGTAACTCATCACCACACCAGGGAGTGCCAGCATCTGTGTGTGCATGTGGAAGGATGACAGCCTAGAGAGATCTAAGACACTGTCCATCATTATAAGATGTTCTCACTGATGGCAAAAGGCAGGGTAGCAGTGCACTGGACTTTGGGGTGGTCACTAATATGAAACACATATCGGGGAGTCACAGCCTTTAGGCTACAGTGGTGGGGTCACTTCTCAGCTCATGTTCAAAAGCAGAGAATAATCAAGGACATGGCCTGTTGTATTTAAAGACATGATTGGACCCAGTGGGGAGGCTCATGCCTGTAATGCCAGCAGTTTGGGAGGTTGAGGCAGGAGGATCACTTGAGCCCAGAAGTTTAAGACTGGCCTGGGCAACATGGTCTACAAAAAACAAAATTAGCCAGCTGTGGCTGGTCACTGGGAGCGCAAGGACTGTGTCCTTCCCATTTCTTCTCATCTCAGAGCTCAGCCCTGAGCAGCTTTCTTTGGAGTGCAGTGATGTTCTGATGCATACAGCCCTGTGCTGAGACCTAGCACAAATGTGAAAAGTTTTCCTGCTCACCCTGTGCAGTCTGTTGAGCCCCACACTAATCCAGTGGCCTGCATGGGTTCTGATCTGGGGGAAGCTCCTGAAGGCAGTGAGGTCCCCCCCTTGCCTCCTCCACTCCTATTTGGAGAGTGTTTGCAGAGGATGCTCTTTCGCTGTCACAAGCGTGCCCCTATGGGGGAGCCCCCTGGACCAGGCTGCTGTCCTGTGTGTTAGCATCCCCAGGCCTCACAGGGGCCTGCTTCTTGTGCATGTGCCCAGGAAGTACCCATCTTTGGATGACCAGATCACAGCAGCGAGCTACTCTGCAAGGAAGCACCAGGGGAGGCAAGCCATGTCTTTCTCATCTTTGTTCTTTAAACCTGTGCATTTTAGTGTGGACCTCAGTAGCATCTATGTTTATTTATTTTTACATTAATTTCAAGACATAAAATTAAAAATTCAGAACCTCCTTTCAAGAGCCATGCTTTGAGTACCCAGTATCCCAATGCTTACACTGCAGAGAGCATTGCCATCCTGTCAGAATGTTCTCTGGGCCAGCTGCCATGAGCCTGACCCAGGTTCTAGTCACTGCACTCACCTAACTCAACATGTGTGCCTCTATGTTGGAAATTCAAGGTTCTCAGAGTGGAGCTGACAGCCATAATGGGTCAGTTGAGGTGAATGGGGATTTTTTTCAGGTTTTCTGTCTAATCTGAAGGCTCCCAGCTGAGTCCACAGAGCCCAGGGAGAGTCTGAGATCACAGAGGATGGAGCAGGTCACCTGGTGTCATCCAGTGTTGCTTTTCGTGGAGCAGGAGTGCTGTTCGAGTCACTCTGAAGTCACCTTTCTCTGATGTTTGTGTCTCTGTAGGTAGCTCTGAGGACAGCTTTCCTGAAACCAGTGATGACAAAAACTCTGCCAGTAGCAGAGATACTCCAGGTGGGGCTGTGGCACAGGGTTCTTGGGGACAGTTGGGTTACACCTGTGGTTTCTGCACCTCAGCTGGGAGCTGCGAAGTTAGTAAATATAAAAGGAAATAGGTGTAGAGGTGTGGTTTGTTCTTTCTGCTTGTTAATGAGAAATGGAAGGAGTTTTGTTTCCATGGGTGTCGTGTGTGCTCTGCTCATCCCCATGATTCCTTCCCTTGTGAGCAAGATGACCTTTTCCAGAAGGCCAGATCTTTCCTGCCTGTGCCAGAGCAAACATCAAAGCCCTGGGTTTTGGGTGGGTGGATATCAACCTTTGTGAATGGAGAATGAGAGGAGTATGCTGGTGTGGCATTTAATGCTGTGCAAGAAGTGAGGAGGGACACAGCCCCTCACAGGTGCCATGTGACCCTGGACACAAAGTCCTTCACTTGTGTGCCAGGAGCCCACCCTCTCCCTCTGCACTCTGGGGACCTGCAGCAGCACCTTCCTGTCCAGCCCTCAGCATCTGCTCCTGGTCACAGGGCACTCCCTGGGTCTCCTGAAGTAGAGAATCCTCCTTTGGGATTACTCAGTGTGCCCCCATCCTAGAGACCCAAGAGGGGGGGATCCCATGCTGGAGCATGGTTCTGGCCTCCACTTCTCACCCAGTCCCAAATCCTTGGGCAAGGAATGGAAGCTGGTTTTGAGAATTCAGTGTCCAGCTGTCACCAAGGCTCTTCGTGTCCAGCAGGAATCCTAGGGTGTGTGTGTGAAGTGGCTGCTGTGTTGCTGTGGGCAGTGGCTCTTACTCTCCTTATAACCTGGTTCCTGGAATCCACTGGGCCCTGGACAGAGCTGCTGGGCAGCTGGCACAGGGGTCACTTGTCTTGTCACACCCTCCGCTCTGGCCTGACAGCCTTGTCCTGCACCCCATGCTGCAGTCAGGCCCAGCTTGTTCCCTGTGTCAGGCCTGCCAGGTGCCCTCCCACCCAGTCCTCCCACAGCTCAGGCAAAACCTGGCAGTGCCTGTTCATTCACGTGCTGAGAACCGCAGCCTCACCTGAGGATTAAGGCAGTGGGATAAGGGGCTTTCCCTAGAGTCCCGTTACAGTGTTTCTAAGCTTTCAGAAGCTTAGTGTTTGTGGGATTCTTGTGAGGGTGAGTATTTTCCAGGTCCCTAAGGTCATCCCAGGCATACAACAGTCACTCAATCTGTGACATCTGTTGTCACCCTGTCCCACAGGCCCCAACTGAGCCCCAGGCCTGTGGCAGGTGCTGCCAACCTAGGATGCAACCCATGGGTTTATGGAGGGCCTGGCAGTGCAGCCCGGCCCTTCCCTCCTGTTTTTTTGTTGGAGAGCAGCAGGATTGGTGATTGACAGGAAGAAAAGACATGGGATTCATCAAAAGAGCAGAGACAGGCCCTCGAGGAAGAGGAGGGAGGGAACCACATACTGTGCACAACATCCTGGAGATGGTGGCCGCCTCTTGGAGGAAAGGGATGACACGGCCTTGGCCTTCCCTGCCTGGGCACAGTTACAGGATGTGAGGGCTTGGAAAGTATGTGGGAAGACAGAGGCTCCTCCCTCGCTGTAGGAAGTGATCCAGGCTGCGGAGAAGGCTCTAGAGATGAGCACACCGGAGCCTGTGGGGTTGGCTCCACAGCCCCAGGACAGCAGGAGCCGAGTGCCTCCTCAAGTCTCACTCTCCCCTTTCCTTTTATGGCTGCCCCATCACCGCTGCTGCTCCCAACACCCTGAAGCTGCTGGAGCAGATATGGAAGAGTCCAAGAGTGCAGACGACCATCAGCATGTAATTATCTTCTTCCTCCCTCTCACCCTCTGACTCATGAGCTCTTCTAGCTCTGGCTCTCTCCCTCTTCCCTTCTGTTATCATTGTCCTGAGGGACTTGGTCTCATCATGGCAGTCAATGCTCTGGGTCTTCAGTGCCTGTAAAGTCCCTCTGCAGCCCTCCTGCCCACGGTCTTGGTCGTGGCCTGATTCCTGGCCCCCAGGCTGCAGCGTTGAATCCTGTTGAGCAACCCCACAGGGTTCAGGCTGGAAGTAGGGCTGGGGTCAGAAGAGCTTCGCCCCACCCTACCGGAGGGTTCCCAGTGACATATGGGTCTGCTCTGGGGACCACCCCCCAAAGCTGCAATGGGGACTCTGGACATGCACAGTTGTTTTCTTCCTCTCAGATGCCAACAAGTCCTCTCCTGGCACCTGTGGAAAAAGCAAGAGACAAAGCCTGAACAGGTAGAAGAAATGTGAGTGTGCAGAGGTGGCATGACCAGGGGAAGGCAGACAGTGCCTGTGCCCCCATGTCTGCCCCACTCTCCTGCTATCCCATCAGGACCCTCAACAGGTTCAAGGAGGATGAGGATGCTGACGAGCCTCACCTGACCTGATGTGACCTTTGTTTGTTATGCTGGAAATCCCTACAGGCAGGTGAAGGATGCCCAGAGAACATCCTCCAGGGAACACACCCTCTCCATAGCAGCCTGTGAGCCTGCTAGGCTGAGCCCTCCACAGGCTGCTCTAATGAGAGATAGGCTGAGGTGCTGGTCCAGCTACTACATGCAGGATTCTGAGGCCACACACCATGTTCTTGTCTGCAGTGCCACTGAAGCTCATTTGAGGGGACCCAGCTCTGCCCTCCCAGCCTCCTGAAGCCAATAGGGAGCATCACCAGTTTGTCATGAGCAGACATTGGGGCTGACCATGAACCCCCACGTTTCATGCCTCCTGGGAAAGGTGTGAGAGGGAGGGAGGCACCCCCGGGCTTTGCCATGCTGGCAAGCAGCCCACCCAGCCCAGCACTGCACACCCGCGGGCACTCAGTAGATCCTGGTGTCAAATAGGGGAAAAGCCAGGATCCAGGACCCCCTGGGGTGTGCCCAGTCCCAGCAGCTCCTCAGCCTCCATGGAGCCCTGGGGCCTGGGGTGGCCTCCTGGCCCCATTTCTCAACATGAGGTTGGAGACTTCTGTGTGTAGAGAGCACTGGCTTGGGCATCGATAGTTCTGTGTCTGTGTCCGATGCCAACAAAAGAAACCCTGGAAGACAAGTCAGGGCTGTGGTCACTTGGGAGAAGTTAAGGGGCACGATTCAGGGAGCCACTGTTTTAAATGTATTTTCCTATTCGAAATTTACATATACATACAAATGTGTGTTTGTCTGTATTATATATAAATACTTTAAAACGTAGTGTTTTCTGTAATCCTTTTATGCTGGAATGTATTACGTGGGAAATGTGTGTTTTGCCAAAGCATAATGATTTCCTGAATGAAAATGCACAGACAGGGTTGGTGGGGTGTTGGAAGGACCAAGTATTCTTAGGCCGTAACGATGACATGCTCCAGGAAGCTGCACACATTTAACGTGCAGTTCTTCCATCTGGATGGCATGGAGGGTCCAGGGGGAGGGCAGGTCACCACCCTGCCCTGTGTCATCAGACCTCCTGCTCCTCCCAGGGCCCGAAGGGATGGGACTCTGCCTGTTGATCTTTGAGCCTCCGCCTCCCTCTGCATCTGTTTCAGTATCTGGGTGTCCAGCCCCCTAAAGATGCCCACGTGTGTGCCTGAGCTCAGTGCCTCCTACAGGACATTTATAGACACTCTGAGCACAGGCAACCCCCTCACAGAGAGCAGCACCCAGGCCAGAGCCCTGTGGACAGACTCTGGGGAGGCCAGGGCCCCAAGGTCACCTTCCAGGGCCTGAGGAGCCCTCTGAGACCTGCACACCCACCCCAGAGAGCTCCTCCTCCTTCCTCCTCTATGCTCCCCAGTGACCTTTGAACCTCTGTGTTGCAGATTTTTTGAATATCTGGAAGGACCTGGACACAAGACCTCACCCTGGCCCAGCGACCATCTGGATAGTGAGAGTTTTAGGGACTGTGCTACATACACTTTCTGGACTTTTATATTGTTTAATTTTTAAAAAAATATTCTTGGCCGGGCGCGGTGGCTCACGCCTATAACCCCAGCACTTTGGGAGGCCGAGGCGGGTGGATCACGAGGTCAAGAGATCAAGACCATCCTTGATCTCTTGTGTTTTTAGTAGAGAGAGGTGAAACCCCATCTCTACTAAAAATACAAAAATTAGCTGGGCATAGTGGTGCGCGCCTGTAGTCCCAGCTACTCGGGAGGCTGAGGCAGGAGAACTGCTTGAACCCAGAAGGCGGAGGTTGCGGTGAGCCGAGATTGTGCCATTGCACTCCAGTATGGGTAACAACAGCGAAACTCCATCTCAAAAACAAAAACAAAAACAAAAATTCTTACTTTAGGCTAGGCGCAGTGGCTCATGCCTGTAATCCCAGCACTTTGGGAGGCCAAGGAGGGCGGATCACTAGGTCAAGAGATTGAGATCATCCTGGCCAACATGGTGAAATCCTGTTGTGGGCAGGCGACTGTATTCCCAGCTACGCGGGAGGCTGAGTAAGGAGAACTGCTTGAATCCAGGAAGCGGAGACTGCAGTGAGCTGAGGTTGTGCCACTGCACTCCAGCCTGGTAACAGAGCAAGACTCCGGCTCAAAACAAAACAAAATTCTTACTTTTTTTTGTAAGACAGAAGCTGTCATTGTAGCTTACATTTTATTCCTTAAGTAATTTTTCAATTGTTTTAGTTTTTTTTAATTTTTGTCCAATTATTCTGGAATTTTCATAATTTTGACAGATGTTTTATGCTTTGTATTATTTTCTTAATGACTTTTACCTTAGTTTTTAAAAAAAAATCCATGGTACAGTAAGTTATAGTAAGACATAGTATTTTTATTTTAGTAGTTTATATTCTGTACATATTTTCACATATGTGTTAATGTCCAGGCATGGTGGCTCACACCTGTAATCCCAGCACTTTGAGAGGCCAAGACAGGAGGATCATTTGAGCCCAGGAATTGGAGACCGGCCTGGACAACACAGTGAGACTTCATCCCTACTAAAAAAATATACACACACATATAATATTAGCTGGTCATGGTGGCTAAATTTTTATTTTGGCTTATTTATGGTGACTTATCTTTTATTTTTCATGAAAATGGGGTTTTACCATGTTGCTCCGGCTGGTCTCACACTCCTGGGCTCAAGAGATCCTCCCACCTTAGCCTCTGAAAGTGCAGGGATTACAGGCATGAGGAAGACAAGATTTTTTTTCCAAGATAGAAGACCCAATGAGATCCTTACTCCTGCTTCATCTTTTTTTTTTCTTTTTGAGACTGAGTCTTGCACTGTCACCCAAGCTGCAATGCAGTGGCGTGATCTCAGATCACTGCAACCTGTGTCTCCCAGGTTAAAGAAATCTTCCTACCTCAGCCTCCCACATAGCTAGGATTAAAGTCTCGTACCAGCACACCCAGCTATTTTTGTATTTTTAGTAGAGGCAGTGCTTCACCATGTTGGCCAGGCTGGTCTAAAACTCCTGACATCAGGTGATCTGCCAGCCTCAGCTTCCCAAAGTGCTGGGATTACAGGTGTGAGCCACCACAGCCAGCCCTCATCTCGCCTCTTGCTTGACAAACCTACACAACCTTTTTGACCTACATAGCTCTATTCCCCAGAGGATTCTGAGCTGTAGGAGGTAAAAGCCAGGGTCCTTTGTTCCTGCTTTCTACTCTGTCACTTTCATCTCCTGGGCCAATGAATTTGGCTGTTCCCAAGCAGGGCTCAGGACCAGGGTGTGAAATTCCAGAGCAGGAAGAACAAAGTCAGATATTAAAAAATGTCATCCTGATCCATTTAGTTCAGGTCCTTGATCCACTTGGATGCCTCTTTCTAAACAGGACCTGCACTGGGCTGTGGGGCTTCCTGCCTGCTGCAGGTTTGGTGGGACAGGTACCTTTCTCTGCCCTAGGACTGTATTTGTTTTCAGGTAGTCTGGCCAAAGCAATATTCGCTAAACTTAAGCATTCCTGGATCACCTTTATGAGTTTTGCTATTTTGGCATTCTACATTTAAGTTTTTCTTTACTTTTTTATGTAAAGTGTCTTCCTCCTTTTACTTATTTGTGATAAAATTCACATAAAATTCGTTTTGAAGTATACCATTCAGTGACCTTTATTATGATGTTGTGCAACTATCACCACCAGAGTTCTAATTTCTCCTCATACCAAAAGGAAGCCCCATTGTGTTTCCCCCCAACACACACACACAAACTCCCTCCTCCCACCCCTTGGTAACTTAAGCTGTTTCTATGAACTTGCCTATTCTGGAATTTTTTTTTTAAGAGGTTCTCATTAGGTTGCCTAGGCTGACCTCAAGCTCCTGGGCTTAAAGGGACCCTCTCACCTCAGCTTCTTGAGTAGCTGGGACTTCAGGTGTGTGCCAGCATGCTTGGCAATTCTGGATTTTTTTTTTTTTTGAGATAGGGTCTCATTTTGTTACCCAGGTTGGGGTGCAGTGGCGTGATGTCGGCTCACTGTAACCTCCACCTCCTGAGTTCAAGCAATTCTCCTGCCTCAGCCTCACGAGTAGCTGGGATTACAGGTGCCTGCCATCACACCCAGCTAGTTTTTTTGTATTTTGGTAGAGATGGGGTTTCACCGTGTTGTCCAGGTTGGTCTCGAACTCCTGAGCTCTGGTAATCCACCCGCCTGTCTCCCAAAGTGCTAGTATTACTGGCACCCGACACGGCTCTCAGCCAACTTTTGGTATTTTTAGTAAAGAGGAGGTTTCAGCTTGTTGGCCAGGCTGGTCTTGAACTCCTGACCTCAAGTGATCAGCCTGCCTGGGCCTCCCAAAGTGCTGGGATTACAGCCGTGAGCCACCACGACCGGCCCCAATAAATCTGGATTTTTAATGTGTTATCTCCAAATTCTGAAACCTTGGCAACAAATGCAATTTTTAAGATTGTGGGTAGAGAAGACCGCATTGTATGGATGGAAGCATAAAAGGAGGCCTGTGCTGGGCGCGGTGGTTTACGCCTGTAATCCCACCAGTATGGGAGGCTGAGGTGGGAGGACTGCTTGAGCCCGGAAGGTCTAGGTTGCAGTGAGCCATGATCGCGCCACTGCACTCCAGCCTGGGTGACAGAGCCAGACCCAGTGTTTAGGGAAAAAAAAAAAAAAAAAAAAGGAGGCCTGTAACAGAGACGCAACTCTCCAAAATGCCACACCGGCAAGTGGGGACCGCACAACCCAAGGTTTCGAGAAAGCTTCTCTTGGGAATGTAAAATACACTTACCCTAGGACTCCTAGTTTCTAAACCTCCTGATCCTAGAGGCCCAGAGGACCGACCAAGTGCAAAGCCCCCCCACACTGTTCTCAGCTCCTGCCGCACCGCACCCTCTATTCCCTGAGCGCCACGGTTCCTCCGCCTGCGGGACTTCGCCCTCGGTTACTTGTATGGCTTGCAAGGCCATTACCTGCCACTCCACCCTGTCTGGGCCCTGCCCGAGGCAAGCCTGGCTTCCAGCCCGCGCTCCCGAAGTCACGCGCAGACCCTCCTCCACGGCCCCATCGCACCCTCCCGAGATGCGTTGCTTAGGGTTGCGTCCCCCGCCGACACCCAGCACCGAGGGGCAGTCCCCGAGGCCACGCAGACCGCCCCCGCCCGCACGCAAAACCTCGCCCAGGGAACAGAAACCGCCACAGTCCCTGGCGGGTCAGGGTTAGTCACAAGGAACGAGGCGCGCATGCGCAGCGCGGGCTTTATTACGTCACTGCGAGTCCAGAACTCAAGGCTGGATCCTGAGCACGTCCCCGCTGGCGCCTGCGCGCTTGCGCATCTTCCTCTGTCGGGCGTGCGCTGCAGCAGCCGGAGTCACCTCGAGGTTGAGCTGCTTTTCCAGCAGGTGCATGCGCGCCGTGGTCTCAGTCAGCATATTCATGAGCACTTCCTGCTGCAGCTTCAGGTAGTTGCTCTCCTTCAGCAACACCTGGATCGTGGTCCACTGCTCCTGCGCCTTCCAGCCCGAGACGGTCGGCGCCAAGTGACCCTCCGTTGTCCACCGGCCGCCGCGGAACTCGAAGGCCTGGTTTTCGAGGCGTATGCGCGGCGCGCCGTAGCAGAGGCCCAGCTCGGCCTGGCGCTTGCTGTAATCCAGCAGGTAGGAGGTGGACAGGGAGGAGATGCGGCGCGCTGGCGGCCGCCGTGGCGAGAAGCGCCGCGAGATGTGATCGGCCCAAAACTGCCGCAGCTGCTCCCACACGTGGCTGGCATGGCTCGTAGTCAGGCACTCGAAGGTTGCCATGGCGAGTGCTGGGTGGACCTTGTAGGGCACGCAGGTGCTAGGAGGGGAGCCTCGGGAGTGCTGGCGACTCCCCAGCACTGGCTGCGCTCTTGCCTCGGGAACCTGGATGTCCAGAATGATGAAGGCGAGCCAGAGGGGCTGCTGGGAGGCAAGAGTATGAGTGAGCAGCTTGCTCAATACAGGCTGCCTATCAAACCTCGAGGCCGGTGGACATGGCTTAGCCCTGCAGCTAGGGTTGCGGCTGTGGCTAACCAGGTGCTGGCCACCGAGGAGCCCGTCCCTCCACGCTGCACAGGCAGCCGTCTCACCTAAATCACCTTACCCAAAGACCACTGAGTATCAGGCGCTGGGATAAATATGCAGATGAAGGACGCTAGGAGCGCCCTGTTCTCTTAGTTTCAGCTGGAAGGGTGAGGGGTAGGGAATGGTAGCAGAGACAAGTAGGTATTGAAAGGAGTAGGACTTTGCCAGGTGAGCTGAGGATGGAAAATGGAGAGCAGAAAGGCAGAGGGAAGAGCCAAGCAGGGTTGTTTGTTTATTTGTTTGTTTTTGTTTTTATAGACGTAGTTTCGCTCTTGTTGTCCTGGCTGGAGTGCAATGGCACGGTCTCTGCTCACTGCAACCTCTGCCTCCCAGGTTCAAACAATTCTCCTGCCCCAGCCTCCAGAGTAGCTGGGATTACAGGCACCCGCCACCATGCCTGGCTAATTTTTTTGGTATTTTTAGTAGAGATGGGGTTTCACCATGTTTGCCAGGCTGGTCTCGAACTCCTGACCTCAGGTGATCCGCCCACCTCTCCCTCCCAAAGTGCTGGGATTACAGGTGTGAGCCACCGCACCCGACAGGACTTTCATGTTTCAGATGTGAACACGAGCTTGGATAGGATTGGTGCTGAGAAGAGCAGAAGAGGAAGCTGGGAAGGTGGACCGGGGCACTATGTGAGGGTGCTGCACAGGCAGGCTCAGAAGCTTATACTTCTTTTTGTGTGTAAGAGGGAACTGCTGAAGGATTACAAAGCTAGGGTTAGATCTGGATTCTGGAAACAATCTGGGAGGGTGTCTAGCATAGCCAACAGCATGATTGCCCTCATCATTCAGTCAACTAGCATATTCTCTGTGCCAGGTCCTGGTCTTGGAAGGAGGACCTGAAACAGCCTCTGCCTGCCCTCAAGATGCTCCTGATCCAGCTTGGAAGACAGATGCCTGTGTAGACCACGGTCCAGTGTGTTCACTGACATCCTAGGGTGTGTGCCATGGGCTAGAGCTATGCATAGGGCTCAAAGTAACAGACATGACAGATTGTGCACACTAGACATGACTTTTGTTCCAAACATATTATGTCCTAAGGGAATCCAAAGTCCAGATAACAGACAAGTCCCATTTTGCTCACTTCTCCCTGTACTCCCCTGCCCAGTAAGTGCTGATTCTATTATGTGAAAAAGGGAGCTATGTGTTTTTGTTTGTTTGTTTTTGTGATGGAGTCTCGCTCTGTAGCCCAGGTTGGAGTGCAGTGGCATGATCTCAGCTCACTGCCACCTCTACCTCCCGGGTTCAAGCAATTCTCCTACTTCAGCCTCCCTAGTAGCTGGGACTACCTGCACATGCCACCACGCCTGGCTAATTTTTTGTATTTTTAGTAGAGATGAGGTTTCACAGTGTTAGCCAGGATGGTCTCAATCTAACTTTGTGATCTGCCCGCCTTGGTCTCTCAAAGTGCTAGGATTACAGGCATGAGCCAACACACCTGGCCAAGGAGTTATATGTTGTTTTTAATTTCTCTTCTGCCCATGGACAGTGAGAAGAAAAAGAATTTGAGCAGGCTTCCCTCTTATACCTTCGTTAATTCATAACACACTTATCCCTCACGTATAGCTGGGCAGAGGCTGGATGGTACATGCCATCCCCAAGATGTGGTTTAGGGAGATGGTCTCTGGAAGTCCACATCTAGGCCCACCCTTGAGATTGCATCTTGTCAGAGGACCCTTCCCCATTAGTTCTCACTGTATGTTGTGCCTCACCTGGAAGATGTGGTGGAGTTGCTGAGCTCCTGTCCCAGGCCTGGCTCCGTCTCTGACCCACTCAGCTAGTGTCTACCTGCTATGACTCACAATGCCTCCAGGCCAGGCTATCCCAGGTCAGAAGGGTTGCTGAATGCTGAGCTGTCAGACAGACCCAGGGCTCTCTGCTGCATGCATTCAGTGCATCATTCATCACGTACTGTTTTCTAGGAACAATTCTAGGGAAGTGAAGAAGATATTGCCCTCATTAAGCTGTCATCCTTGGCAGGGGAATGAAGGGGGTGGTCATAAGCAGAGTCCAAGACAGGAATTTGTTCTAGAGGAACCAATAAGATAGTTTCTGAGGAAGCTAACAGAGGGTGTCATGGGTCAGGTTCCCTAGAAGCAGAGCCTAAGATGATCATTCTTGCTCGAGTGAATTATTGGGGAAGTGCTCTCAGGAGAAGAGGGTGAGGGAAGCAAGACAGGGCAGGGAAAAAGGCTAAGGCTGAGGCAGAGTGTGGTCTCACATAGAGACTAGCTTCCGCTTGCTGTCATGGAGAACTGTGAGCACAAATGGCATCACACTTAGGCCTCCTTAAGGCAAGGGAGCCAGTCTTTTGTATCCTTCTACATGTTAGTTATGGCAGGGGCAGCTAAGAGTTACCAGGCAGCACCTAGAGCACCTATGGGATGAGTGCACCACCAGTGATAGGAATTTTGGTGGAGCACCAACTGAGCAGGGAGGAAGATAATAGAATAGATGATGGCAAGGTGCAGTGTGGCTCACACGTGTAATCTTAGCACTTTGGGAGGCCAAGATGGGTGGATCACCTGAGGTCAGGAGTTGGAGACCAGCCTGGCCAACATGGTGAAACCCTATCTCTAGTAAAGCTACAAATACAAAATTAGCCAGGCGTGGTGGCATGGGCCTGTAGTCCCAGCTACTCAGGAGGCTGAGGCAGGAGAATCCCTTCAGGCTGGGAGGCAGAGGTTGCAGTGAGCCGAGATTGCGCCATTGCACTCCATCCTGGACAAAAAGAGCAAAATTCTGTCTCAAAATAAAAAAAGGAATAAGAATAGATGAAAATGAAAGGGCAGACTGGCCAACATGGCAAAACTCCACCTCTACAAAAAAACTATTAGCTGGGCATGGTGGCATGCGTCTGTAGTCCCAGCTACTCAAGAGTCTGAGGTGGGAGCATCACCTGAGCTCAAGAGGTTGAAGCTGCAGTGAGCAGTCATTGTGCCACTGCACTCCAGCATAGGTGATAGATATCCTGTATTAAAAAATTCAAAAAAAAAAAAAAGTGCCGGGCACCGTGTTTCACACCTGTAAATTCCAGCATTTTGTAAGGGCAACAAGAGTGAAACTTCATCCCCCCAACCCAAAAAAAGGAATGACTAAATGAGTAAGAATGCCTAGGCCAGGCATGGTGGCTCACGCCTGTAATCCCAGCACTGGGAGGCTAAGGTGGGCAGATCACAAGGTCAGGAGATAGAGACTATCCTGGCTAACACTGAAACCCTGTCTTTACTAAAAATACAAAAAATTAGCCAGGTGTGGTGGCATGCACCTGTAGTCCCCGCCACTCAGGAGGCTGAGGCAGGAGAATCACTTGAACCCAGGAGGTAGAGGTTGTTGTCAGCCAAGATCACATCACTGCACTCCAGCCTGGATAGCAGTGAGATTCCATCTCAAAACACACACACACACACACACACACACACACACACACAAAGACTAGTTCTGATATGTACAGTGAAGAAAACAAAATTGAAATACAGAAAGTGATTTGGGGACAGGGTGAGGGTAGGAACTAATTTAGTCATTGTGCTCAGTGAAGGCCCTTGACGTTCATGCTAAAACCTGAACAATGAGGAGACCCCAGTCCCTTGAAGACTTCGGGGTTCAGGAAGCAAGTAGCTGGGCATGTTTGAAGGACAAGTGCCATGTGTGCAGACAGTGGAAGGAAATGAAATCTGTCTTACCTGCTAAGCCCACCCACTTGACTGCAGGGGACAGACCCAGCTCCAGGAGAGCTCAAAAGCTGGAGCAGAGCCCAGTGATAGTGCCACCTCCTAGGAAATTTCTGTAATAGTTTTATTGAGGTATAATTGACATAATCAACTACATATATTTCTAATGAATAATGTGAAGTGTTTTGATCATTTGTTATGTGAAATCATTCCCAAAATCGAGATAATGAAGTTATCCATCTGGAGTTATCCATTACCTCTAGAAGTTTCCTCTGTTCCCATCACTACATACTAATTTGCATTTTCTATTTATATGTGTATATATGTGTGTGTGTGCGCGTGCGTGTGTGTGTGTATTTATTTATTTATTTATTTTTTGGACAGAGTCTTGATTTGTTGCCCAGGCTGGAGTGCAGTGATGGGATCTCTGCTAACTGCAGCCTCCGCCCTCCCGGGGGAAAGTGATTCTCCTGCCTCAGCCTCCCAAGTAGCTGGGATTACAGGTGCCTGCCACCACACTGGGCTATTTTTTGTATTTTTAGTAGAGAAAGGGTTTTACCATGTTGGCTGGGCTGATCCTGAACTCCTGGCTTCAAGTGATCTGCCCACCTTGGCCTCCCAAAGTGCTGGGATTACAGGCATGAGCCACTGTGCCTGCCTCAGCATGTATTTTTTTGACATTGGCTTCTTGCAGCATAATTATTTTAAGATTTATCCCTGTTGTTGTATTTATTAACAATTCTTTGCTTTTTATTGCTGAATAGTATTTCATTGTATGGAAACACCACACAATGTGTTTTTCCATTCAGCTGTTGATGCACATTTGGGTTGTTTCCAGTTTTGGAGCTATTGCAAATAAAACTGCCCTGAACATTTCTGTTGTCTTTGCCTGGACACATGCTTTCATTTCTCTTGAGTAAATGCCTAGGAGTAGAATGGCTGGGCCATATGGCAGGTGCTTGTTTACCTTTTTATGAATCTGCCAAACTTTTTCCAAAATGGTTGCACTGCATCCCCACCAACAGTGAGTGAAAGTTTCTGTTTTTCCGTATCCTCGCCAACACTTGGTTTGGTAAACATTGTTTTTTAAAAAAATTTGCTTAATTAAAAGTATTGGTGGTGTTTTTGAGACAGGGTCTCACTGAGGTGCCCAGGCTGGTCTCAAACTCCTGGGTTCAAGCGATCCTCCCACCAGGGCTACCCAAAGTGCTAGGATTACAGGCAGGAGCCACAGAGCCCAGCTAGTAAGCCTTTTTAATTTTAGCCATTACGGTAGCGTGTCTAAATTGTAGGGGTTTTGTTGTTTTAAATTTTTAACAGCAGGCTGGACGTAGTGGCTCACGCCTGTAATCCCAGCACTTGGGGAGGCCGAAGCGGACATATCACAAGGTCAGGAGTTTGGGACCAGATTGGACAACATGGTGAAACCCCGTCTCTACTTAAAAAAATAGAAAGATTGTGCCACTGCACTCCAGTGTGGGTGACAGAGCGAGACTCTGTCTCAGAAAAAAAGAAAAAAAAATTTTTTTTTAACAGCAAGCAGATTCTTAATAAATTTGTTTTCTTATTTTTTGAGATGGAGTTTTGCTTTTGCTGCTCAAGCTGGAGTGCAATGTTGTGATTTCAGCTCACTGCAAACTCCACCTCCTGGGTTCAAGCAATTCTGCCTCAGCCTCTCAAGTAGCAGGGATTATAGGCGTGCGCCACCATGCCTGGCTAATTTTGTGTGGTTTTTTTTTTTTGAGACGGAGTTTCACTCTTGTTACCCAGGCTGGAGTGCAATGGCGCAATCTCGGCTCACCGCAACCTCCGCCTCCTGGGTTCAGGCAATTCTCCTGCCTCAGCCTCCCGAGTAGCTGGGATTACAGGCACGTGCCACCATGCCCAGCTAATTTTTTGTATCTTTAGTAGAGACGGGGTTTCACCATGTTGACCAGGATGGTCTCGATCTCTTGACCTTGTGATCCACCCGCCTCAGCCTCCCAAAGTGCTGGGATTACAGGCTTGAGCCACCGCGCCCGGCCTTAATTTTGTGTTTTATTAGAGATGGATGGGGTTTCACCATGTTGGTCAGACTGGTCTTGAACTCCTGACCTCAGGTAATTCGCCTGCCTCAGCCTCCCAAAGTGCTGGGATTATAAGCGTGAGCCACTGTACACAGCCTGCAGTTATTAAATGCTAGATAAAAGTCCTTTGTTGGATATGTTTCAAAAGTATTTCCTCCCAGTCTGTGGCTTGCCTTTTAGGGCAAAAGGTTTTAGTTTTGATGATGTCCAATTTACCACATTTTTTCCTTTTTCAGATTTTTTTGTGTCATATTTACAAACTCTTTGCCAAACATAAAGTTACTAAGATTTTTCTCCTGTGTTTCATTCTAGAAGTTTTATAGTTTTAGCTTTATATTTAGGTCTGTGCTCCACTTTACGTTAATTTTTGTTTATGGTGTTTTGTTTTTTTTTTCCACACAAATGCCAGACTGACTCAGCACCATTCACAGAAAAGACTGGCCTTTCCCACACTAATTGCAGTGGTGTTTGTGTTATTTATCACATGACTGTGGAGGTGTGGCTTTGCTCATCATGTGACTATGGATGTGGCTATTTCTGTGTTCTGTGTTCTTTTGCCTGGTCTGTTTATCCTTGCACCAATACTGTTGATACCTGGTAGTATAAATCTTCCAATAATATGTTTAAGATTGCTTTGGCTTTCTAGGTCCTTTGTATTTCTATATAAATTTTAGAATTCACGGCCAGGCACTGTGGTTCACGCCTGTAATCCCAGTACTTTGGAAGGCCAAAGCGGGTGGATTACCTGAGGTCAAGAGGTTGAGACCAGCCTGTCAATGTACTGAAAGCCTGTCTCTACTAAAAATACAAAAACTAGCCAGGCATGGTGGTAGATACCTGTTATCCCAGCTACTTGGGAGACTGAGGCATGAGAATCACTTGAACCTGGGAGGCCGTGGTTGCAGTGAGCTGAGATCACACCATTGCACTCCAGCCTCGGTGACACAAGGAAATCCTGTCTCCAAACAAAAAGAAAAAAACAGAATTCAAATGTCAGTGTTCACCAACAAACCCTCATGCTCATTATTTAAAGCTTTCTCTTCTTGTCATGAGGACACTCGAGCTCAAATCAACCCCAGGAAGGTCGCCTGATGGACATGGAATTGGAGCCCAGGAATATTTTAACCAAGACAGTAATTCATATTCATTCTTTCTCCACAGTGGGTCTATGTTATTAAAGTCAATTTTCAGTGAGGTGTGGTGGCTCATGCCTGTAATCCCAGCACTTGGGAGTCTGAGGTGGGCAGATCACTTGAGGCCAGGAGTTCAAGACCAGCCTGGCCAACATGTGAAACCCATCTCTATTAAAAATTTAAAAAAAAATTAGCTGGGCATGGTGACATGTGCCTGTAATTGCAGCTAATTAGGAGGCTGAGGCAGGAGAATCACTTGAAGCCAGTCTAGGTGACAGAGGGAGAATCTGTCTCGAAAACAACAACAACAAAAAACATATTTCAGACAGATCATAGGTGACCACCAGGAATGGTATACAACTTCCCTTATTTCATGGACTCCCAAAAAGAGAAAGCTACAAAACCCAAGGAAGTCGTTCTTTTTTCTTTTTTGAGACAGAGTTTCACTCTTGTTACCCAGACTGGAGTGCACAATCTCGGCTCACCACAACCTCCGCCTCCTGGGTTCAAGCAGTTCTCCTGCCTCAGCCTCCCAAGTAGCTGGGACTACAGGTGCGGCACCACCATGCCCAGCTAATTTTTGTATTTTTAGTAGAGACGGGGTTTCACCATGTTGACCAGGATGGTCTTGATCTCTTGACCTCGTGATCCACCCACCTCGGCCTCCCAAAGTGCTGGGATTATAGGCATGAACCACCCCGCCCGGCCTCTTTTTCTTCTTTTTTTAGTTCTCCCCTACTCCTCAATGTCCTTGTTTGATTATTTGAATAAGAAAAGTTAGGAGAGATGATGCGTAATTCCCACTTAACATGCATGTTAACTCCTTTCACAAGAAGACCTTGATTTTGAGGACATTTAGTGAAGACTTCAGAATTTAAAGATTTACAATTAAAAAAAAAATGGCTCATGGTTCCTTTGAGGATCCCCATCTAAGTCACTGAAAAAATGAAGTTTGGAGCCCATGAGGAAGGGGAGGGTGTGCCACCAGGTCCAACAGGTCTGAGTTGAAGGACAAAGTTTTTTCTGATGGCAGAAAGGAAAGGAGAAGAGCACCTGAAGATTTTTCCACATCACAAGCATTTGTACCACATTGGGGCTGTGAATCACAATGAGTGAGAATGTCAGTGGGTCTTTTCTGGCAAAGAGGAATATCCCCCAAACCAAGGAAGCTAAATCTTGTTTTTCCCCATGGAAGTTTCAGTCTGGCTTCTGAGATATTCTGTTAGTGATATTTGCCCATCCCTGAAACAACATGGTGTTTGTTCTCTGTGCTAATACAGCTTTAAAAAAATGTTGACTGGGCGCAGTGGCTTATGCCTGTAATCCTAGCACTCTGGGAGGCCGAAGCTGGTGGATCACTTGAGCCCAATTCATGACAAGCCTGGGCAACATGGTGAGGCCTCGTCTCCACAAAATATACAAAAATTAGATGTGGTAGTGGGCACCTGTACTCCCAGCTACTCGGGAGGCTAAGGTGAGAGCATCACCTGAGCCTGGGAGTTGGAGGCTGCCATAAGCCTTAATCACACCACTGGATTTCAGTCTGGTGACAGAATGAGACCCTGTCTCAAAAAATAAAAAAGATAAACAGGTATTTTTCTTTTTTAAAAGCACACACTTCACTCAGCACCTCCATTTTCTCTCTTTTTTGCAAGCTGCCTTTTCAGGAAGAACAAATTTACCATCTCCTCTTTGGTTCATCATTCATTTTGCCTTTTTCTTTTTTTTTTTTCTTTCGCCCAGGCTGGAGTGCAATGGTGCAATCTCGGCTCACTGCAACCTCCACCTTCCAGTTGCAAGTGATTCATTCTCCTGTCTCAGCCTCCCGAGTAGCAGGGATTACAGGTGCCTGCTACCACACCCGGCTAATTTTTGTATTTTTAGTAGAGACGGGGTTTCATCGTGTTGGCCAGGCTGGTCTCCAGCTCCTGACCTTGTGATCTGCCTGCCTTGGCCTCCTAAAGTGCTGGGATTACAGGCATGAGCCACCGCGCCCAGTGTTTTTTTCTTCTTTAGCTTCTACATCGTTTCTTGGTGACAGGAATACATGGGATGTGGAGCAAAGGGGTGGCATTTGTGGTAACCTAGGCCAGGGCCCATTGCTTCTGTCCCTAAGCTGCTCTCAAGCAAACGTTCCCTAAAATTAATTCCATGGATGTTCCTCGGAATCTGCAGGTACTCTGTGAAAAAAAAAAATAAATTTTCCATTTTAATTTCAGTAAAAAAAAATCTCAAAAGTCACTTTGGGAAGCTGAGGCAGGTGGATCACTTGAGGGCAGGAGTTCAAGACATGCCCAGCCAACATGGCAAAACCCTGTCTCTACAAAAAATACAAAAATTAGTTGGGCATAGTGGCACATGCCTGTAATCCCAGCTACATGGGAGGCTGAGACATGACACTTGCTTGAACCCAGGATTACAGGCGTGAGCCACCATGCCTGGCCCCACTCACTTTTTTACACGGCTTAGTCTGCCTGATCAAACAACCATATAGTGGCTAACATTTCAAAATGTTAACCTGCCAGATAGTCTTGTTTAAATACATATAGGCCAGGTGCAGTGGTTCATGCCTGTAATCTCAGCACTTTGGATGGCTGAGGCAGGTAGATCACTTGAAGACAGGAGTTTCAGACCAGCTTGGCCAACATGGTAAAACCCCGTCTCTACTAAAAATGCAAAAATTAGCTAGGCATGGTGGTGGACCCTGTACTACTCAGGAGGCTGAGGCAGGAGAATCGCTTGAACCTGGTAGGCAGAGGTTGCTGTGAGCTGAGATCACGCCACTGCATTCTAGCCTGGATGACAGAGTGAGACTCTGTCTCAAAAAAAAGGTCAGGTGTGGTGGCTCACACCTGTAATCCCAGCACTTTGGGAGGCCAAGGCGGGTGGATCATTTGAGGTCAGGAGTTTGACACCAGCTTGGCCAACATGGTGAGACCCCTGTCTCTACTAAAAAGACAAAAATTAGGCTTGATGGCACACGCCTGTAATCCCAGCTACTTGGGAGACTAAGGTAGGAGAATCACTTGAACCCAGGAGGCGGAGGTTGCACTGAGCTGAGATCGCGCCACTGCACTCTACCCTGGGCAACAGAGTGAGACTCCATCTCAAAAAAAAAGGAACATAAATGTTAATTTGACTTTTTGGTTTGTACTATAGGTAAAATTATAAACATGGTTTTATATTGACAGGAGAGCTATAAATTATAGTGGGTTTATGTTTATATACATTGATATATTTTTTAATTAATTTTTTTGAGACCATGTCTCGCTCTGTTGCCCAGGCTGGAGTGCAGCAGCACAATCTTGGCTTACCACCACCATGCCTGGCTAATTTTTGTATTTTTAGTAGAGATGGGGTTTCACCATGTTGGCCAGGATGGTCTGGAACTCCTGTCAAGTGATCCACCTGCCTCAGCCATCCAAAGTGCTGGGATTACAGGCGTGAACCACTGCGCCTGGCCTATGTATATTTAAACAAGACTATTTGGCAGGTTAATATTTTGAAATGTTAGCCACTATATGGTTGTTTGGTCAGGCAGACTAAGCTGTGTAAAAAAGTGAGTGGGGCCAGGCACCAGTGGTTCAAGCCTGTAATCCCAGCACTTTGGATGGCTGAGGAGGATGGATTACTTGACAGGAGTTCCAGACCATCCTGGCCAACACAGGGAGATCCCATTTCTACAAAAAAAAAAGTGAGTAGAAGTGCCTGATCAAGAAATGGAGGATTAAGCAGAGGTCAGTTGGCTCTGAAAGACCGGAAGAGCCACTACACTTCAAACCCAGCTCAGGATGGCATGAGGTGAAGCAGTATTCTTTTCCTCTCCTTGGGTTGACATCCCTATCCTTGAGGTAGTTTCAGTATATCTCTGTTCCTTATTATTTTCATTTTTTTTGAGACAGAGTGTCGCTCTGTCACCTCAGCTAGAGTGCAGTGGGGTGATCTTCGCTCACTGCAACCACGGCCTCCCGGGTTCAAATGATTCTCCTGTCTCAGCCTTCCGAGTTAGCTGAGATTACAGGCATATGCCACCATGCTGGCTAATTTTTGTATTTTTAGTAAAGACGTGGTTTCACCATGTTGGCCAGGCTGGTCTGAAACCCCTGACCTCAAATGATCTGCCAGCCTCGGCCTCCCAAAGTGCTGGGATTACAGGCGTGAGCCACCGCGCCCCGCCTTTGTGAGGTTCTCAGCATATGGAAAACTGAAGACGTGCTAAGAGTGAGTTACTAAAATGGTGGCTTATCTTAAATCTTTCCATGGCACCATCCTTTCTTTCATCCTGTCATCCCTGTATCTCTCTGCCCTGACACCTAATCTCACTTCAGGAAACATCATAAATTGAAAGTTCAAATAACCTCGGATTATATTATTCTGGACTGTGCGACGAGGCAGCGCAGGCTACTGGGCCGAGCCATGACTCCGCAGGAACTGCGGCGCCGGCTCGCCCAGCGCGGTGCAGTGCACGCCAGGCCGGCCAGGCGCCCGCTGTGGGTTCTGCTCATGCCCGTCGGGGCAAACGGCCCTCCTTGGCCGATCGTCGGACTCCTACCCCTTCTGCCAGCTGGCAATTGCCCCGTTAGCGAAGGGCGCGTGAAGGGTCCCGGGCCTCAGCCCCAGGAGCCAGACGGGTGAGGGTCACCGGGGGTTGGATTGGAACGCCCCCGAAGGCACCAAGGCAACCGGGCGCGGGAACGCCTGCTGAGTCCGCCCCGCCCAGCCCCGGGACGCGCGCGCCCGGTGGTCTCGATCCAGCGTGGTCCGCCCCTCACCTCCCGCCCAACCAACAGCAACTTCCTGCCTCACTCCCGGCCAATCCTCACACTCCACGAAGAATAGCGGTAGGGGGTGTACGGGAAGGTACGTAGAGCGATGCCCACGCCAGCCAACTGGATGTAGGGGCTTGCGCGGGAGGGCGGGACTTGGCGCCGGCTGTGGCTACTCAGGGGCTAGGGGCGGACGCAGGGCCGGGCTTCGTGCGGTGGGGATTGCTCGTGCGGTGGGGATTGCTCGCGCGGTAGCGGTGGCCGAGGCCTCTTGGTTCTGAGACACGTGACGGTTGGGCCGCCTGTGCCTCTGTCTTTACTGCAGCGCGGGGCCAAGGTGTGCGGGCGGGACGAGGCACGGGCACCCCTTCTGTCCCCGAGAGGCTGGAGGTGAGACGGGAGACCTGAGCGCGTTCTCAGGCCTGTGAGGACCCAGGGGGGCTGGGAGCGCCGCTGCGGCTGAGGGGTCGGGCGTGGCCGGGGACTGAGGGGTCGGGCTGACGCTCCAGGGCCCAGGCCCCGGCCGATGCGCCGGCTGTGAGCGGGGAGGCCCGAATCTGGGCCTCTTTGGTTGGGGAGCCGGCCCAGGCCGCGCCGCCGGGGTCGGGAGGCGTGGCAGGTGCCCAACAGCCGTCTTTGACCGCTGGGAAAGCTGACTTACACCTATGGCTTTGCTTCTAGGGCTTTCTTAGCCCTCTTTGCAGGCTGCCTGGGCAACCGCGAGGTGGGCTGGAGTAACCGGGTAAAAGTGTAGAATGGAATCTGGCCTACTAGGTACTCCTAGTAGTAGGGAAGGGCGCTTTAGATCGAGAGAGAATGTTTAGGATTAGCGTTACAGTTTAATATTTGAAAATCCAAAGCGAAGACTGATCTCCAGCTGCCTTAAGAGAAAGGGGAATGTACTGGAAGGAGAACACGCAGTGGTTGAGAAACTTAACTCTTAACATTTACAGCACCTATTCGGGAGGGGAGTATACAGTCGGAGGTTGACAGGGCGTTAAAAGCAGGAAAGCACCGCAAAGTTCCTCTAACGCATCTCTTTACAGTGGAGGCCTACAGGTATGAAATGACTGGCCCAAGGTCATGCGATTAGTTTAATGATGGTGCTGGGATTATAGTTCAGGGCTAGGCAATGCAGTGGTTAACGTTAAGGCCCTGGCTCAAGTCTTTCATTGGTCATTTGTTGCTATGTGAACTTCGGCACTTTTCTTACCCTTTGTGCCCCTGTTCTTGTCAAGTAATGGATATAATAATACCTGATGCGTTTGTGAGGATTAAGATAAGTCACAAAATAAGACAGGGAAGTTCGACATTTAGTAACTGCTCGGTATTTACTGCAATACATCATAATCTGGAAGGTGTTGAACCACTACACTGCCATCCTAGCCTTTGAACTGGTTAAGTCCTGTTTCTCAGGACCTGAAGTCACAGTTAAGGTGATGGAAGAAACTGGGCATTGTGTATTAACTGCAGGGCATGACACAAGTGATTGCTGTTTGAGGGAAGTTAAACTGAGCTTAATATTAAAAGCTTGAGAGGAAAAGATAAACCATAGTTAAATCTTATTACCTGCCTGGCACGGTGGCTCAAGCCTGTAATCCAGCACTTTGGGAGGCCGAGGCGGGTGGATCACGAGGTCAAGAGATTGAGACCATCCTGGTCAACAAGGTGAAACCCTGTCTCTACTAAAGATACAAAAAATTAGCTGGGCACGGTGGTGCACACCTGTAATCCCAGCTACTCAGGAGGCTGAGGCAGGAGAATTGCCTGAACCCAGGAGGCAGAGGTTGCGGTGAGCCGAGATCATGCCGTTGTACTCCAGCCTGGGTAACAAGAGCGAAACTCCGTCTCAAAAAAAGAAAAAAAAAAATCATTCTGTATCTCAGTCCTTTCCCAGCATTGTTTGAGGGTCATGAATAGAATGAACTGCCATGTTGATCAACTGTTGTACATTTGGCATAATTATACTTAGAGCAGAGGTAAAGGACTATGTGGGAGTTCTTTGCATCAACCAGGGTGTGCAAACCAGCCGGGTAACTGGATCAAGAGAATGCTCGAGTGAACTGTGTGTTGGGGTGAATGCTGCACAACAGAAATTTTCTGACCTATGTGCAAATGGATGTCAGCATTCCCCCACACCTTACTATCTTGACTCTACAGTTCATTTAGCACATTATCTTCTCAGGGCCACAAGGAGTCAATGTTTTGACAGAAGTCGTTGCTGCCGTTTTGGCAGTCACATTGTTACATCCTTTTAGTTAGAGTTCTCTTTACCCTGGGAAGACAGCTTAAGGGGATGAAGTGGCAGTTGGTGAGCATGAATTGCAGGCTCATGAGACTTGAGTTGTGGGCCCAGTGTGGTAACTAGTTTTTGTTCCACTTTGGTTTCCATAACTTTAAAATAGGAATGAGAAGTCTCCTTGGTGCCTCACCTTTAGGGAGCAGATCAAATGGTGAACATGAAACTACTTTAAAAAGTGTAATGAGAGCCCTGCGCGGTGGCTCAAGCCTGTAATCCCAGCACTTTGGGAGGCCAAGGCGGGTGGAGCACGAGGTCAAGAGATCGAGACCATCCTGGTTAAAATGGTGAAACCACGTCTCTACTAAAAATACAAAAAATTAGCTGGGCATGGTGGCGCGTGCCTGTAATCCCAGCTACCCGGGAGGCTGAGGCAGGAGAATCGCCTGAACCCACGAGGCAGAGGTTGAGGTGAGCCGAGATCACGCCATTGTACTCCAGCCTGGGTAACAAGAGCAAAACTCCATCTCAAAAAAAAAAAAAGTGTAATGAGGCCAGGGGCGGTGGCTCATGCCTGTAATCCCAGCACTTTGGGAGGCTGAGGCGGGCAGATCGCAAGGTCAGGAGTTCAAGGCCAGACTGGCCAACATGGTGAAACCCCGTCTCTACTAAAAAATGCAAAAATTAGCCGGGCATGGTGGCTCATGCCTGTAATCCCAGCTACTTGGGAGGCTGAGGTAGGAGAACTGCTTGAACTAGGACCCAGGAGGCAGAGGTTGCAGTGAACTGAGATCGCGCCACTGTACTCCAGCCTGGGCTACACAGCAAGACTCCATCTCAAAAAAAAAAAAAAAAGTGTAATGAATTGACTGGGCACAGTGGCTCACACCCGTAATCTGAGCACTTTGGGAGGCTGAAGTGGGTGGATTACTTGAGACCACCAGTTGGTGACCAGCCTGGCCAACATGGTAAAACACTGTCTCTACTAAAAATACAGAAAAAAAATTAGCTAGGTGTGACGGCAGGTGCCTGTAATCCCAGCTACTCAGGAGGCTGAGGCAGGAGAATTACTTGAACTTGGAAGGCAAAGGTTGCAGTGAACAAAGATTGCGCCATTGCACTCCAGCCTGGGTGACAGAGTGAGACTCCATCTCAAAACAAAAAAAAGTGTAATGAATTGTGCAAATAGAATTGGCAGTTCATAACAACTCCTAGGAAATAATAAAAGTGCCTAAACATGGCTGGCCATGGTGGCTCACATCTGTAATCGCAGCACTTCGGGAGGCTGAGGCGGGGAGATCAAAAGGTCATGAGATTGAGACCATCCTGGCTAACACAGTGAAACCCTGTCTCTACTAAAATTACAAAAAATTCGGCGTGGTAACACACGCCTGTGGGAGGCTGAGGCGGGGGAATCGCTTGAACCTGGGAGGCAGAGGTTGCAGTGAGCTATCACCACCACACTGCACTCGAGCCTGGACGACAGAGTGAGACCCCATTTCAAAAAACAAAACAAATAGCTTATGGTAAAACTTGTCAGAAAAGTCCTGGTTGAATGCTTTGTTAACTGCAGCAAATGTACTCTTTTTTCTTTTTGCGATGGAGTTTCGCTCTTATTACCCAGGCTGGAGTGCAATGGTGTGATCTCGGCTCACCGTAACCTCCGCCTCCTGGGTTCAGGCAGTTCTGCCTCAGTCTCCCGAATAGCTGGGATTACAGGCACGCGCCACCATGCCCAGCTAAGTTTTTTGTATTTTTAGTAGAGATGGGGTTTCACCATGTTGACCAGGATGGTCTCAATCTCTCGACATACTTTTAAGCTGAACCGTGTGCTGTAACATTATTTCAGAATTTCCATTTTTTAAAGAATTTAGGCCAGGCATGATGGCTCACTCCTGTAATCCCAGCACTTTGGGAGGTGAGGTGGGTGGATCACATGAGGTCAGGAGTTCGAGACCAACCTGACCAACATGGAGAAACCCCGTCTCTACTAAAAATACAAAAAAATTAGCTGAGCATGGTGGTGCATGCCTGTAATTCCAGCTACTTGGCAGGCTGAGGTAGGAGAATCACTTGAACCGAGGAGGAGGAGGTTGTGATGAGCTGAGATTGTGCCATTGCACTCCAGCCTGGGCAATAAGAGTGAAACTCCGTCTCCAAAAGAATCATCAGCATATGATTTCTGGGTATTCACACCTTAAACCTACTGTAAAGTTTACAGGAGAAATGAAAATGCTTTGGAAAAATCAGTTCTAATGTTTTTGTTAATGGAAAACAAAATCTAAAAATGTAAGGCAGTATAGATTTATTTGTCTATTTTATTTTGTTTTTAGAGACAGGATCTTGTGCTGTCGCCGAGGCTGGGGTGCAGTGGCATGATCATAGCTCACTGGAACCTTGAACTCCTGGGCCAATTGATCCTCCTGCCTTGGCCTTCCTGGTAGCTGGGATTACAGATACGAGCCACCTCACCCAGCTTAGATTTATTTTTTATTTTATTTATTTAATTCTGACTTTGAGACAGACTTCTGCTCTTGTTGCCCAGGCTGGAGTGCAGTGGCGTCATTTCAGCTCACGGCAACCTCTGCCTCCTGGGTTCAAGTGATTCTCCTGCCTTAGCCTCCAGGGTAGCTGGGATTACAGGCTTGTGCCACCATGCCCAGCTAACTTTGTGTTTTTGGTGGAGACAGGGTTTCTCCTCGTTGGTCATGGCTGGTCTCCAACTCCCAACCTCAAGTGATCTTCCTCCCTCTGCCTCCCAGAGCACTGGGATTACAGGTGTGAGCCACTGTGCCTGGCCTATTTTATTTTATTTTATTTTTGAGCTGGAGTTTAGCCCTTGTCACCCAGGCAAGTACGATGGCGAGATCTCAGCTCACTGCAACCTCTGCCTCCTGGGTTCAAGCGATTCTCCTGCCTCAGCCTCCCGAATAGCTGGGATTGCCATACCCGCCACCACACCCAGCTAATTTTTGTAGTTTTAATAGAGACGGGATTTCACCATGTTGGCCAGGCTGGTCTCAAACTCCTGACCTCAGGCAATCTGCCCACCTCAGCCTCCCAAAGTACTGGGATTACAGGAACCATTAAAATTTAACAAAATGTGTTACCGAGTAATGCCTAGTAATAATAAAAATCACTGCTAACATTGAGTGCATGCTGTAAACCAGGCACTATTGTAGTACTTTATATACATTTTGTTCATAAATGATTTTAAGAGATATATATTGTTATTATTTTAGATACAACAAAACCTAGGCCCAGAAGTTGACAAGTTATTCAGTAATTAACCAGTGTTCCTTGAGCCAACTTGTGTTCCTGTTCATGCACACTACTGTGTTTCTTTTTTTTTTGAGATGGAGTTTCGCTCTTATTACCCAGGCTGGAGTGCAGTGGCACGATCTCGGCTCACCGCAACCTCCGCCTCCTGGGTTCAGGCAATTCTCCTGCCTCAGCCTCCTGAGTAGCTGGGATTACAGGCATGGGCTACCGTGCCCAGTTAATTTTTTGTATTTTTAGTAGAGACGGGGTTTCACCATGTTGACCAGGATGGTCTCCATCTCTTGACCTCGTGATCCGCCCGCCTCGGCCTCCCAAAGTGCTGGGATTACAGGCGTGAGCCACCGCATCCGGCCTTACTGTGTTTCTAGTTGTGACCTCGTACAGATTACGTGACTTCTCTTAGTCTTAGTTACCTCACCTGTGAAATTGGAATGACAGAACCTTCTGGGGTTCTTATGGGGAATATAAGTGCCTACAACTACTTACAGTGCCTACAACCCACAAGACTTAACATTTTAAAAGGATGTATTTGGTGAAT